CCAAAGCCCCAGTAGATAGTTGTGTGTCACAGCTGCACATCCTTCTAGTTGCTGTATGTGGGACGCGGCCTCAGCATGGCCAGAGAAGCAGCACGTCGGTGCGAGCCCGGGATCCGAACCCGGGTCGCCAGCAGTGGAGCGCGCTCACTTAACCACCAAGCCACGGGGCCGGCCCCTGAAGAATTACTTCTAACATCTCTCGTAAGGCAGATCTACTGGTGACCAATTCCCTCAGTTTTTATTTCTTTGATAAAGTATTTCTCCACTTTTGAAGGATAATTTTGCTGGGCACAAAATTCTGTTTTTTTGTTGTTGCTATTTCAACACTTTAAATATTACTCCAGTTCCTTCTTGCTTGCATATTTTCTGAAGACATGACATATATCTCATTTATCCTCCAGACTTTTTATTATGAAATTACTAAAATGCACAGAAGAGCTGAAAACAGTACAATGAAACCTGTATACCTTCCACCTAAATTCAGTGTGTTAATATTTTCTATATTTGATATGTATTGTAACACGAATATATTTTTTCACTAAATTATTTAAACTTAGAACTTACTTTGTATTTCACCAAAAAAAGTCTGCTTGTATTCCATAAGAAAAATAATCTTTGCATGAGCATAGTAGCATTAGCACACTTAATAAAATATATCCATAATACCTAATAACCAGACATTTTTCAAATTTTCACAATTGTCCAGATCTTTTATAAACACAATCCAGTTGATGTTTACACATTATATTTGGTTATTAAAGCTTTTTCAAGATCAATTCCCCCATTATCTCTACGACAATTTTTTTGACGAGTCTAAGCTAGTTGTCTTGTAGAAGGTTCTGCGTTCTGAATGAGCATAGAGATTCCCCCTTTTGCCTTGTTCTTTTTTCCCATTATAAAATCAACACAGGCTCATTACATGAAAAAAAATTAAGTTTAGAAAGTAAAACGTATATATCCAAAATTGTTCCAAGAGACAGTGAAGAATTATATACTAACAAAAGGGTCAGTTCATCAAGACAACAAAAGAGGCTTCAAACATGAATCAAACATAGAATTGAAGAGAAAAATAGACAGTTCTACAATAGTTACAGACTTCAATGCCCCACTTTCGATAATGGATTGAAGACAGAAGGTCAGTAAGGAAATGGAGAACTTAATAATACTACAAACCAATTAGACCTAAGAGACATTCGGAGAACATCCAACAACAACAGAATGCATATTCTTTGGTGCACTTGAAATAATCTCCAGGACAGGCAATATGTTAGGCCAAAAACAACTCTGAAATTCAAAAAGACCAAAATTATGTAAACTATCTGACTGCAATGGAATGAAGAAATCAATAGAATCAATAATAGAGGAAATCAATAAAGGAAGGAAAACTAGAAAACTCACATATATGTGGAAATTAAGCAACACAGTTTAAAATAACCAATGGATCAAAAAAGATATCACAAGGGAAATTAGAAAATACCTGAGAGATTAATGAAAATGAAAATATAACATACCAAACCTTTTGGGATGTAGTGAGAGCAGTGCTCACAGGGAAATTTATAGTAGTAAACTCTTACATTTAAAAAGAAGAAAGATCTCAAATCAATAACCTAACTGAACACCTAAAACTATAAAAAGAAGCGCAAATTAAACTTTAAGTTGGGAGATGGAGGAAATAAGGATTAAAGTGGATAAAAATTAAATAGAGAACAGAAAAACAATAAAATTAAGGAAACCAGAAGTTGGTTCTTTGAAAATGTCCACAAAATTAACAAACATAGCTAGAAAAAAAGCAAAGGACTCAAATTACTAAAATCAGAAATGAAAAAGGGTTCATTACTATCAACTTTGCAGAAATATGAAAGGATTAAGAGAATGTTATGAAGAGCTGTATACCAACAAATTGAATATAACCTAGATGAAATGGAAAAATTCATAGAAACCCAAAAACTACCAAAATTGACTCAAGAAGGAATAGAATATCTGAATGAACCAATTACAAGGAGGCTGAATCAGTAATCAAAACCCCCCAACAAAGAAAAGCTGGGGACTAGATGGCTCACTGCTAAAGTTGACCCAACAGCTAAAGAAGAAATAACACCAATCTATCTCAAACACTTCCTAACTCATTTTTTTGTTTGTTTGCATTTTTTT